TGGCTTCGCTGTCTGTTCAAATGATAATAGGAAGAACGGATACAAATTAGCGGGGCTCTCTTACAGTTATCAAATAGGACTGATTGCAGTAGCATATTCACTCCTATCCTTTGCGTTTAATTCATGAATAGCCAAAACCGCTCCGTGGTAACGTCAAAAAAAGTTACTTAATTCAGAATAATTTTCATAAAATTGGAAAAAGTCGAACTATTCACCTTCATTTTCTTCTTTTTCACACGTTTAAATATAATCTAAAACCAACATTTACTGTATTAGCTGACAATATAGTTAAGAAAATACAGTTTCTAAACCAAAAAGGACAGATACCAACAGAAAAACTCATTTTATTTCATTCAATTTTTCTTCGTTAGAGTGAATATAAATCCTTTCAGTAATAGTTTCCGTCTGATGTACTATTCAGATATTGTGCCCGTACAGAAAAACTGTTTTCATACTTAACTTGAAAATATTTTTTCGACTTTTTGCCACTTCTGGTCTCTATTGAAGCCTATCAGATCTAGACCACTGACATTTTTCCGTGAAATCCTAAAACCTTAACACCTTCCATCAGAGAACTTTCCAATGCAGCGGTTAGTCACTGCTACGTGTAGTGTTACTCTCCCTTAATATCATTCTTTTTGATTTATACCCTATCAAATTCCAGGCTGCTCTTACTTCAAAAAATTGTTAGATTTACAACATGAGAACTTTCAATGGGCAGTCACGAATCTGTACTTTGTTACGAGCTATTCCTCATTTCTTCAACGTAATTATCGAGCTGAAAGATCAGCGTTTTATTAGAATTCCTGATTAAGGGAATCTTAACGCAGTGTTCTCAATAAACCTAGCTTTCACATAGATCTTTTCTGAAGTCAAATTAGACTGTCATTGCAACATCAGTGACCAGTCGTTCGCTGCAATCGCTCCGGAGTTCCACTCGCGGCTACTCACTCCATTATTTGAATATATTAGAACAATAGATGGTTATTGTACATTTACCATGAGCTTGTGATCTCATTTACAAATATATTTATATATTAGCTTCTTCGAGTTACAGTGATTATATAAAAGTTACACGAGTCAGTACTCTAGAAAAAATATGGGAATAATTGAACAGTTAGCCAGAATAAAATATAACGAGAGTAGACTTAAATATCGATAATGTCAGATCGGCTAAAACTAAGCTTTGAGTTTCACATGTACTTATCGGCATCTATTCCAATGTTGATGGAAGCCTGAATTCGTTTTCTTGCCTGAATGCAATTTTCTGCATTATTTTTTTCTGGCACATATCTACTTCAAGAACCACATCTAGATCGGACAATTTACAATAAAACTCATACGGTGCAACTCATCAAATAAGGTCGAACGCATACCATCCAAAAAAATTACTGATTGCGTATTAGTATCACAGAAAAATGTGCTAATTACACATCAACTTTTCCTGATCACACCAGCTAGTAAGAAAAGAAATAAGAACTTATTAAACTACTGTTAGTAGAATAAAGCTTGACGAACTCATAACCGAACACCGAAAACACTTAATTCGATCAAGTGGCGGTCTGAAAAACTTTCATATATTTGTGCTGTTACTCAAATTACTGGATCTGTAATCACACTAACATATTTGAATACGTTACTCTCTCTATGACTACCAGATCACAAAATCATTTTGTTTCATATGACCCTTCCTCCAGTCGAGGGAGTATCGCTATTTTCTCAGAAAATCCTTTCCTGGACCGAAAAAATTCAGCTCAAAATTTCGAGGAATCGATTATGGATTCGGATCTCCGACTCCAATTTACTTTCGTCAATCTTTATAAAAGGTTTTTTCTAATTGGTCGACTTTCTGCGTAATGAGAAGATCGCATGTGAAATCCGACGTCGGATTCAGATTTCCAGACATCAATTACCTGTAGTGAAACTTTAGAAGGTACGCCTAAACATAGGCCTCCTCTAATGTTTTATTGACCTTGCTACAAACAGACATACATACAAACATTTTTTACTTTTTTTTCATAGGATCCTTCTTAAAATCACGGGAATAATGAGGGATCTCGCTTTTGTCATTTGAATATATTACTTGATATTTAGATTCGAAGATTGAAAAACGACTGCTTTCTATCCTAACATATTTGCTTTACCGCACAAAATCAATGACCGGTGGAATATACAAAGTATTAAGAGAAGAGTCGTGACTCAGTGAAAAAACCATGTCACACAAAAGATGTTGATCTACCTTTTTTATTATCGCATAAGAGGCATGTAAAAACACCTATAAATTCAAAATTTTAGACTTTCTGAGTGACTTTTGAACAGATATGAAAGAAACATTGGACGTGTTTCCATGAAGTTCTGAACATAACGATCATGATTCTTTCCTTAAACTCATTCAAATTCAGTTGAATAATGTCTTAAAACATAGCGCAAGTTTTACCTACAAAACTGTACACCGAGTGTCCCAAAAGTAAGGAAAAATAGTATTTTTTTTCGATTTCTATCTTATAGATTGTCGGTTAGTTCTGATATTTATACCACATATACTAGGTATGATAAGTAAAAGATTGAGCATATGAATGATATTTAGATGTAGTAATTGATCCAAAAGCGTTCAAATACAGAATGAGTAACAAGAAGGAAAAACTTGTGAATTCCAATAAAACTTTTATTCGAAGTTCTGACTAAGAAAAAAACACGTACAAAAGTATGTCTTTGTGGAGGGTTCTTATTATGAAGTTTTTTACAAAAATTGTTCAATATGTTTACCATTTAAGTCTTTGCAAAGTTGAAGTCTCTCAGGTACTGACTGGCAGGCGCTTTGACAAAATTTCACCGGTAAACTTTGTATTTCAGTGATTACAGCATCTTTTAGTGCTTGAAGATTTTAAGGTTTCGTCACATGTACATGTTTCTTGATCACAGCCCATAAAAAGAAACCAGTCGGTGTGAGGTCTGGAGATCATGCGGCCAGTCAATCCATCCACGTCGATCAATCCACCTGTCACGAAATGTTTTGTCCAGAAAGTGCTGGACAGATTGAGCGTAATGAGCCGACGCTCCATCGTACGTATAGATTATCTCTTCTAAATCCATTTCACTTGCAATAGCGGGAACAACATCTTTTTGGAGCATCTCGAGATAGCTGTCTGCAGTAACGTTATCATGAAAGAAGAACGGTCCAATGATGCCTCCAACTCAAATTCTAGCCCATACAGTGATGCCTGGGGTATTCATTTCTTGAGTAATGATAACATGGGGATTTTCTACGGTGTAATAAACGCAGTTGTGTCGATTGACATGACCCCTCAACTTGAAAATGGCTTCATCGATCCAGATAATTCGATTAAGCAAGGAAGAATCGTCAGCTAACAAGTTGAGGAAGATGTCGGCAAATTCACAACGTCTGTCAGGATCGTCTTTGTTCAAAGCATGCAGCAACTGAGGACGATACGGCTTCAATCTCAGCTCTTCCATCATTCGTTGAAGGCTACTTTTAGGCAGATTCAGTTCCAAAGAAGCTCTTCTCATTGAAGTTGCAGGACTTTCTTCAAAAGCAGCACGAACACGTTCTCTATTCTCCTCAGTACTAACAGATCTAGGACGATTAGATCAAGGTTTATCTTCAACGCTTCAGGTTTCGTCAAACTTTCGTACAAAACTCAAAATGTTCTTTGATGTTGGAGGAGTTCGATCGAAACGATTTTGAAATTGATATGCAACTTCAGCTGCATTTTGGTAAATGGCGTACCATTTCACAATTTCAATTTTTTCACGTAATGACAAATAAAAACTTTTACTCATGGTGAAGAAAATGTGAAAAAAGTTAGAGCTATGTAAACTACAGAAAATGTAAAGAGAACCAAAAAATTGTCTCCTAGATGCCTCTCCTCGCACATATAAGTACTACAAGAAAACAAACAATAATATGCGCCGTCTTTTTTTACATGTACTGTATTTGTATGCCCTTGGATCAATTACTACATCTAAATATCGTTCATACGCTCAATCTTTTACTTATCACACCTAGTATATGTGGTATAAATATCAGAGCTAACCGACAATCTGTAAGATAGAAATCGAAAAAAATACTATTTTTCCTTACTTTTGGGACACTCGGTATTTAGATGTTTCTTAAATAACTTTTTAACATATCTACGGACAGTGAACGCCTAAGCAACGACACAAAAAAATGTGTAATATTTTTGAAAATTTTCTTCTGTTTTCCAGTATTTCTCAGGAGAAAAAAGATTACTAGATCGAAAATGGGTAGACAAATCCGTGATATCGTATTCTATGTATCTCCACAAAATTTAACTTCGATTTATCTCAAGCTTTAAATAATTACTCTTGCATATATAATTTTTTTGTTGATCTGAATTCCGAATCGTTCTAGTAAGTAGCAACATTGCTAGTAGTTTTTTAAAGGATCAAGTTTCTACTCCAGAATCTTTAGTCGTTCGAATAGAGTAACATTTATAAACAAAAGAAAGGTAATATTTGGATTTAACTCGCCGAGTTACCCAAATTAATCTCAAATTTCGCTGTTTATTCTTTTGTGTGTGAACCATTATTTATCAGTGTCGCTCTGCATCAGTAAACACCACTGGTGCTACGGATCTCTCAAAAACCTGTTTTGCTCCCATATCTCTATTTGTATAAATACATCATTTTTGTTGCAATGCTGAGGATTCACAGTAGCATAAACATCTGCTCCCCTCTTAATATTTCGACGGACATTAATCAAAAGAAAATCCTTCATTATTTTTCGAAAATATTTTCAAAAGATTACACGTACTCAAATTTCAGCAAGAAATTCTTCAAATCTGAATAATATTAAACAGACTTTATCAATTGGTTAATCTGTTTTTCTTTTATTTTTTCCACTATTTTATGATAATTTATTCAAGTCCACTAGAGAATTAACTGTTATAACTGAATTGCTATAACAAAGAATATAAAGCAGTATAGTGTTTCGTTGAAGAAGTTTGGACGGCAATTTCTCAGACTTGTGCGAAGGATGCTCGTTCAGTGAACTCCTCTGTGCATGCCATTCGAACATGTTTAATAGTGGCTGGTGAATGTACAATAAAATTTTCAACAAAACTTTGCTGCTGTCGACAGCTCATACATGCTTGTTGGTGTGCAAAACGTACAGAGGCGGCGAGAGCTAGTGGTGGCTCACCAATGCCTTTCAACGAATAAATAGCTCGACAATTGGGTGCATCCGACAAAAATGTAATACACATGTGTAAGGCAACATCACTAAATGCTGGAATTTTGTATGTGTCCGAACCACGAGTAGCTAATGTTCCGAGTTTGACCCATTTGTATTGCTTGTCATCATCCCAAATTATCTCTTCCATAGTGAACAGTCGAAGACCTTGCATAAAAGCACCTTCTATTTGGCCAATATCGATTTGAGGTTTAGTGGTGTACCCACATCCTGCAATGTAATTATATTGTCGAAAGGGTTATTAGTTTGTTGAAAAGTCAATCTAAAAAAATTCAAATCAGCTTTATTTTGCAAAATCGATAGCAATAGTTACTTCAACAATGAGAAACCTTCTATGGAGGAGAAGCTTCTCTTATATGTAACCATATTTTTAGAAGGGTGAGATTTGTTTTTGGAACTAATCCTGTGAATAGAAATCTTTCAATACTTATTCACTAGAAATTATGGTACTCATCAATATTATAAGACATTGCTAATACTCTGAACGAATGCTGTCATCTATTTTCCACTATTCGCATGTTTTTTCGGTATCCGAACACAACTCAGAACATATAATCGACTTTTGTTTCATATCTTTATTCACTTAAATGGAACATTATTAAAAAGTCAACATGATAGTAATGAACCAATGGTAATTTTTTTATTTCAATTGTCGTACTAGTTGGCGCTGTTTCGTTAGACTTCTAATTTTTGATCCTTTGCATTTTTATATATTGTGTAAGAATCACTCTTGACAAATATCCTACAAAAAGTAATTTCATTTTATCGAGAAAACTTTCGGATTTACTCAATTTTATAATTTTAGTATGATATAGAAGAGAGTATTGATGAAAGAGCACAAAAGATAACGTATATATATATAAGAGTAATATCACTTAAAAGTTCTAGAGTACGAACAACAAAAAGTATTAAATACAGAGAGCCGGCCAAAGCAGTAGAAACATTTGTTTTCAATCGATTCGTTTGATAATCTACCCTTTTATGAAAATAAATAGCTATGTGACTTCTTGCATTTAGTGATGATCTGAATATGAGATTAGATTTAATTAACATAACTATCAGACTGCAGAAGAAGAATGTTTGTCTATTTAAAATTACATAGCCAATTTTGTATTCTTGTTATCGTTAGCCGAACATGATACCTATTTGGCTTGAATGTGGCATGAATAATTAGAGGAGCTGAGGCTGAAAATTTCAATAAAAAAAAAGTATTTGAGAATGATCCCATTTCGATATTATGCTTAAAGTTTACTATTTAAATCAAAATCACTGGCAAAAATACCTTACTATCCAACTTTTGTACTTCAACTAGGATTATAAAATCAAAATGAAGTTGTTTTATGAAAATGAATTCGAAATAGGGTATGGGAAACTTCTATGTCTTTTTTCGATCAATAGATATGCATCTTCTCAAAAGATGTCTTCACAAAGCTAGTCCCTAGTGCATAGGATATATTTTCGTCATTTCGTGGACGTTAAATTCAAAAGATTTTCTATAGTGCGATGACTTGAATATTAATTCAAACGTCTCTAGTACACGTCCTAAAAGACGTTCTCATGCTTAAAGAAGGCTCTTGAAAATATCTATTGATCGAAAAGAGATATAGAAATCTTTGATATCATATTTCCAAGCAAAGTGTCATGTATTTTGCACTAAATCGTTCGTGTCACTTTCGATCATTAATAACTAAAACATGAAATCCGTTCTAGAGTTTTATCTAGTCATCAATCTATAAATCTTGACTCAAATTTTTCTTCTACAGTCTAATAACATTATCCAGTAAATGTGATTTCATATATAAAAGGCTATTATTAAACACAAGTTATTCAACAACTCGACTGAAAACAGCTGCTCTACTGATTCGGTCTGAAACTAAGGTAGTTTTGATTGATATTTTTTTATGCTCTTCAAATTTTTAGCTTATGTATGTGTTCAACATTCTGAAATCATAAAGTAATTTTCCTAGAAAGCACTTTTGATAGACGCTGATTCAAAAATGAACATACCTTCAGAATATCGACACTTAATAAGTGCCAATCGCTTGTCAATATATCTAATTCGACTTCTGCTACAGCTGCATCTTGAATGAAATAACTGAAATAGGCTCGATTTTTATTTAAATCTTCACTCAAAGGTTCTGATATGACATAGAATCCATGTGAAGGGTGCAAAATTGATAGATCTCGTTTTCGATATGTGTTTAAACAACTCAATTCGTCAACAGTCTGTTGTCGTCGAACACATTCGCTTGATTGAAAAAGCTCATCTAAGATCTGAGGCACATGCCAATGTTCTAGTACTTGTCCAAAATGAGTCGAATCTTCTTTTCGGTATAAATTTAGCCGGCAAACTATACGCGGATCGAGTGTAAGATATGCAGGAATGTGTTCAACAATTGTTTCACATGTAAAAATAGCCTGTGGATAGCCAAATCCACGGAACGCTGAAGAAATTTAAGAAAGAGATCTGATTTCTACCCTTTCCTTTTTTTGTCTTTTCAAAGGAACCTGTATTTGAGGACAAGTGTGTTTTACAAAGGCGTCCACGTACTTCAATATTATTAAACTGATATGTATTATCAATGTGAAGCATTGCTTTTTTAAAATAGGCATAGATTGATCAAATGAATAATCAGCATTGCTCCATAAACGTATAGCGAGTGCGGAGAAGAGATCCTTACTAGTAAAGTCAACTTTATAGTTAACCTTGAAGGGATGTCGCTGTTCAATAACACTAATATCAACGTCACGCTTCATATTGAGACGAGCTGGACGACTGAGTTTCAATGCAGCTACTGCAACGGAAACAGCTAGTATTACTCAATAAATGAATATAAAGTTGTTCTTCTAGACGTAAAAGGAAATGAATAAATCTCATACGTACGCTCTACTATCTTTTCCACTGAAACCGCCGTCGATTCTTTTAATCAGACATTGTATATGTTTAGCATCTTCAACTATTGCTAATGGAGCTAGCTCTTGAATTTTACTAGGATCTTGAGTTGCTGAATACAAAATTAACTCATCATCATTATCTGATGGCATGGCCATGGCCATGCAGCAGTTCGTTTCTAAATAAAAATGTTCTTGATCACCAATGAGTAGAGTTTCTTCTAATATATATTCAGCTTCTGAAAGAGCTCTATTTGGATCGCCTTTTCTGATACATTGTTCGTTGTCTAAATAGTTTTCATATTGAATTGCATCATCGATTGTCATAATTGTCGGTGCTAAAATTCATAATCGATTTGTATTAAATGAGCTGCTATGTTAGCTGTTTGTTCTGAATCACAAATGACAAGATCAATAATTGCACCAACATATGGAACAACACATGATGCGAATACTTCTTCATCGTGAACAAGAATGCCTGTCATGTTGCTACTAGGTACATCCGTGTGATTGATAAAGGATACGAAACCTGACAATGGTGGAGCAGTCTCAGTGTCTACACAATACGAATAGTGAAGGGTCAATGATAAACAAAGTACGATCATTTTTACCAATATTCGTAATGCGAGCGTGTGGTTCAGTACTAAGTAAAAATTCAGCATAAAGAGTGTTGGACAATAATGGTAAATCGTTCATATATTTGGCTTCACCTGTCATCTGCACATAGGCTGATCCATGTAGCAACGCAACACTGACAACTCTATGGATCAGAGACCGTTCATGTATTGTTTGTTGGCCATGAGATACAGATCGCCGATAAATATACACAGCCGACATATGTTTTTGTTCGACTAATGTTTGCCACAGTTTCGAACAAACATATAGATAAAACTTAAAAAGAAATGATTGAACTAAAGTACGTCTAAAACGAAATTAATTGCTTAGTTAAAAAAAAAGCATAATCACAACAAATCATGTATGTAACCTATATTTGCATTGGCCACTTGGTGTGAATTCATTAAATGGTAATTCGGCGAGAACTAGTTCACATGCTTTATTTGCTGTTGGTTTTCCTACCATTGTCTGATAAACGGTTTCTGAGTCTGTTGTACCATAACTGACAATACCACTGGAATCATCTCGACGACGTGCTTGTTTATATGATCGAAGAAATGATTTACTCGATGATGATGGAATAGGAGTATGAACGGCAAAAAGTACTTTATCATGGGTCATTGATATGCGACGATTAGGAAAAAAGAAATTGCGTAAAAGTAAGGGCCGCTCTGCATTGCTAACAGATACACGACGAAATTTCAGTGAAGCGTTGGCAGTTTGAAGTATTAAGTTTAGCTCAGAACTAAAAATTAACATATACAATCGAAATTTGACTTATACTAAATTTAAATTAAAAAAGATTTCAAGTGCCTCAAAAATTCTGTGTAAATTAAGTGCATCACATGGAAACCCACGGTTAATATTTGATTTAGTTATAATCCATAGAATGTTGTGAAGAATAAATTTGAAATAAGAAAACATCTCTATTTCATTATAATGAAACCAGATAGGTTCGGATATGATTCATTGCTTGATATTTAATTCTATGCATTCGTGGCAACGTAGTCTTTTTAAACTGTAAGACAGTCAGTGCGTAAAAAATCTATAACATAGGTTCGATTTAGACATTTCTAAAGAGCTTCATGTCTTTTGTGCTCGACTACCCATAGCAACATTCACAAAGGAATAACTTTAGATTATTTTCATTGAACAACAAAAACAACTTTCATTACAAGTTTAGGCAAAAATCAAATGACCTACATTGGCGAAGCATTGACAATACTACCGCTGAAGGAAGCAACATTTTGTGTTTGCGGCGATGGGAAGCGTTTCAGTTGATCCATTAGCGCTTCACAAATACCACCACCACTGTTCACTTCGTTCTTTCCTTCATAAAATTTTGATTGTAAGCGTGTGGATGTAACATCAGCATTAATGCTAAATGAATTTGATATTCTTTTTAGTTGTTGTAATTCATCAATATGTGTTATTGAAATAACACGATGATGCTGCATTAGTTTGAATTTTGTTTCGATTTGAACAGCAGTATTTCCGAAGACGAGCTGCGCTGCACTACCAGGATAAGAATGACGAAGAGAAAGTAATTCACCGAGTGAAATCGAGTGATACCATTCGAGCATAGAAAGAATTCAAAAGATTTGTAAGAGATCATGCAAAATCTGTGAGTATTATTGATGAATAAATGATCATTACTAACGAGTAATAGATACCTTCTATATGAACTGACTGTGAAATATACTCCCATAATTTATTAGAGAATTCAATTCGAAAAAATGACGATGAAACATTTTTACTCGAGTAAGAATTGCATGTGTCGAATGTCATCGAGATTATTTTCGATGTTGATGATTTTTCAATTTAAACATAGTTATCAAGATCTCTTGCTAATGATTTAGCCGCATCTAGTATAGGTCGATAGCCGGTGCATCGGCATAGGTGTCCGTCAAATGTTTCCTCAATATTTTGCATTGTCAGTAATTCACTGTTGTCATCCATTGCTACAGTTTCATAGAAAGATATCACAATACCTGATTACAGAAGCCATATTATGTACCAAACATTTCGACCAGACGAGATTGAACCAGATGAATATTTGACTTTTTCACTGAATCCAAACCTTCTACGGTGATTACATGACATCCATCGACAGAACACAATGGTGCGAAACAGCTATTCACCGCGTAATGCTCCATATGACCAGAGCATCGATCAGTACAATGTGAAATGAGTACTGTGCACGCTTCACATCCACCTGCACCACAGCCCAACTTGGAACCAGTCAGATTTAACTCTATTTAAACAATGTACAACGCGAGAAAGAATTGCTAGAAATGTTTAGTTCATTTACAGTGTCTCATAACTTATCTATTGCTATACATGGCGTGTTCAACCGCATTTAAATAGAACTTACTATTTCTCAGGTACCACGAAATAGTCCAATCAGGTTCAACGTTTGATTCGATTATCTTAGCCCCGTTCACATAAAATAGCAGAGAGCTTGACCGATTTGTTACTAACTCTTTGATAGCCTTTTTCTTCAAAGTTTATTCAACATACTCCCATGTAAATGCACTTTTATCTCATTTCTTTCACGTAATTCAATGATAACAAATCATGATGTTTAACTTGAAGAGAAGAATAAGCCAAAAAAATGTTTATGCTGACTAGGTGAAGCTAATGTTGTCATTTGCCACTAGCAAACAGACAACTATTACTGAAGTATTATATTCATTTTAGTAAGAACGACAATCTAAATACAGAAATTTCACAAAGCTTTCTTGTTTTTTAGATAATTGAATCAAACAACGGGTTAGGCATAAAAATATTTATCTGCTATTTTCAATTTTTCAAATAGATTTTTTGACCAGTAATCTCTTCTACGAGTGTCTTCGAATAGGGTCTGGAATTGGGAACCATTTTTCAGCGACTGGTATCATTGCCTTTGGTTGATAAAATATTGAATGCACTGGCAAAGCCTTTCTGAGATTCGCATCGAAGACATTTTTGGGGAACAAATTCACCAGATGGCCGACTTATAGCGTACAGAATCACCTCAATGAGGTGGGTGTGGGTGTGGTTGTCGATTGTGAGATGTTAGTCCTATTCTAACGCGGACTTCCACCCAAACCCACACCAGTGCAAGTGCCTTCGTATTTGTCACCGCATATGAGAGAGATGACATGAGTCCAAAGTTCTCACTATACATGACAGCACTGACTAATAAACGGCTTTGACTAAAGAAACATTAACTGCACTCAACATAGTAAAAATAAGTCGCGGTCCACAAAAAGGGCCATAATATCATATGGATTACTATTGGTTTGCCAAAAATGCTTTTGATATCGTTGACTAGCGCAAGCAAACAATGTTTATCATGTAAATAAAAGCAGTTTGCCCTTGTAAAATTTTGTGTATTAATGTTCCTGTTTTGTTTTTCGTTAAACTACCCCTTCTATAGTATAAAGACATTTTTCTTATCTTCACTCAGTTGTTGCGCATATCAAGAGGCATGATTTATCTTCTTGCAGTTTTAACGAACGACTAAAAGGTAAAGTACAACTAGTTGGATAATATAGAGTTTGGTCAGATGTATATAAAAAAAATGTTCTGCATAAGAAAGCAAGGAGATGGGAATCGAAAAGAGCACTGAGAAATATAAAATTCTAAGGAAGCAAAGCTGTTTTACTTTATTTCACTACAAGTAATCTGTCCCCAAGTAGGTAACGGATGAAAGGAGGAGCGAGGAGCCTTTGGAGCTGCACTATTTACCATCCATTCGGCACATCACTGGAACTATGGTTCTCATGCTTAATAGTTGTTCGAAATTTTCCATTCAGGTAGAAGTAGCTTTCAACTTCGAATGATTTTTTTTTTTGTACATTCATTGCTTTTGTAGTGCTTAAGCCAGACGTACAGATGTACCAAAATGGAATTTCGAAGAGTTTTAGCTCTGTTTCTTTCCGTCAGAGAAAAAAATCTCGTTGGAAGATATGGGAATAAATTTGAGTCTTCCGAAAATTTCTGATTTTTCTATACTTCTTCTCCCGACCTCCACTGTCTCTTAAAATCTCTGCATATGTGCCCATATAGGCTGTTAGTGTGCAGCATGACACATTTCCACAATCCAGAAATATCTAATTTTTTAACCACTATACATCCTCGTTGTTTATTTTAAAAAGTAATCTTTGATTTCTCTTTCCATTTTTATCATACGAGTCTTTGAATCATCATCGTTCCCGGCTACAAAACATGGCGAATAACAATCAAAGTGAATACGATGAAATTCTTTCTAAATTCGCTGAATACAGAGAGCAAAATGTTCGCAAGCCTGTCGAACGTTACACGATTCATAATTGTATGTTGAAACAGCTCCTAGATAAAGATAGTTCCTTAACAGGAAAACGTGTTCTTGATCTGGCCTGTGGTCATGGCCATTATACACGTGAATTGAAAGCCTTAGGTTGTGCTTACATTCTCGGTGTCGATGAAAGCTCAACAATGATCGAAATCGCCCATAATAGTAAGTGGCATGATTCAGAAGGTATCGAATATATGGTTGCCGACGTGAAAAATTTGCCTCCACCGAAGTCACCATTTGATTTAGTGACTGCATTCTATCTATTTGACTATGCTCAAACAAGAGATGAACTACTTACAATGGTTCGCGTTATTTATGCACAACTCGGTGAAAATAAGACCTTCATTGGCATCATAGGCAATGTAGTGGCAGGCAAAGCCATGTTTAACAACAGGAAGTATGGTATAACAAGAGAAACAAAAGCTTCCATGGATAGTGATTCATTGCCTGATGGCACCGAAATCATTGTCACGCTCTACAATGATCAAGACGTCGAAATGTGTAGCTTTACAAATTATCATTATTCTCCGGAAACCTATGAACAAATATTTAAAGAAGTTGGCTTTAAAACATTTCAATGGGTTCCTTACCAATGTGATCCCGACGATCCTAATCGAACATTTTTCGATGATTTAATTCGTCGTGCTCCTTCGATTGGTATAATAGCAACAAAATAATAATCAAATATAGACTCTCAAATACTTTTCCTCAATTTTTTAATGTGCTTGCCTATGCCAAATTGTTCTGTTATTAATTTATTCTAAAATCACAATGAAATCTACATCGATTTTATTTTCTTCTTTTCTTTTTTCTTGCTTATGACTGTTGCTATTTTTCTTTCCTATATAATCCGTATACAGTGCAGTAGTCAAAATCGCTGCGTCGCATTACATGGAGATACTGAGTAACAAATAAAATTTAGAGAAAACAAAATACAGAAGACAAAAATATGGTTCATTTTTTATTACAATGTGCATTGGAAGATGTGGGGTGTGAGTTTGGATTGTAGGTACGAGTGTGATGATGAGTAAAGAACGAGCTAGACGCGAGAGTGAGGATGCGACTTGGCTTGAAAACAAGATCCATAAGCATCTACATTCACACTCAACCATGAAGCGACGCTAAGACCGATATTTTATTTGCTCTCTCGAATAATAATAATATTATATTATGCTATTTTTATTTTGATTCCATCAGATCAATTATGGGAAGATTTCGTTTCTCCCAGGTCGATGATTCCAGCCTCCGGATCCCGCCGGAATCAAGCTATTCTGACAGATTTCCGCTCACCGGAAAACACCGGAAACCACGCCATATCCGCACGGAAGACAGCAGTAATTCGTAGGAGACAATAAAGGCGAACACCGTGTCCTTCAGAAACTACAACGGAGACACATCGTATCCGGTCCTCACTGGTAGGACGTGATCTTACTCCAGAAAGATCTTTTAGGTCCCCGATCTCCTAAATTCCTTGATACAGTCCCAAAATTAATCTAAACACACAGGAAACGCCACCAAAGATCCTCAAAGATCTTTTTTTATTAACACAGCTGTTACAGTCTCAACAATGCATTAAAATCAAGGTAAAGTCTCAAAAAGATCTTTAAAGATCTTTTCCTATTAACACAACCGTTACAGTCCCAACAATACCTTAAAATTAAGGTAAAGTCTCAAAAAGATCTTTTTTATTAAAACAACTGTTACAATTCCAAAAATACCTTATAATGAAGGTACAGCTTCAGAAAGATCTTCAAAGACGTTTCTCACTGAAATAGCTGTCACAGGCTCGAAAAAAATGCAGAATAGGTCACCTGGGAAAAAAAACACCGAGTGGCTTTCCCGCGCACGACTCTTCTCTTCCCGTGTTGCTTACTGGTAATGGGACCTCGTAACTGTGCTGCTTATATGAACCTCGGTAAATTACTATCGGTATTGAAATAGATTGAAGCATGTGTGAACGCTAGTTATGTTTATTGGATCAATGGAAGCTTTCTGTTCTTTGTTGTGTCCTACCAGAACTGCCAACAGGCCACTTTTTTCAGCCTGATCTGGCCTGGCTAGCTCGGTCTGCCTGGCAGGCCAGGCTAAATTTCGCAAGTCAGCCTGCAGCCTGGCCTGGCCTGCAGGCCAAGCCAGGCGAATTAATTTTTCAGATTTTTTTATTATGAGAGCTGGAAATTGGCATTAATTCATTGCATACGTTTCAATTTGTGATCCGACTTGTTTTTGTGAGAGCAATAGAATATAGTATGTCAATTCTCAACTAAGAGCACTCACGAGTCAATTTTAAGATCGGTTTTATGAAAATCTTTGACACATGAATATGGACCTGAGTTCTGAAATGAAACACTTTCAAATATGTAGCCAATCAAGCAGATGTTGAAATTTAGGAATTTATGTGGAGATATTCGAATTTTTTTGTAATAAAGTTATAGCTACCTAGATATGGAAAGTATCAATTATCTTGAATACTTGCAGATATGTAAGATATCTTCAATCTCTAATACGTACGAATGAGAACTTCTCAAAATTAACTTAAACCCTTCTACTAATCTTACGATTTGATGACTTTTATTCACACGATAATTTTACGAGTAGACAGGACTTAATTCTCCATCATTTTCATTAAACGAAACTCTGAATTCGATTCTAGTTTAGACTAGCTCTTGGAACTATGAAACTCTTTCACTGAGTAACGTGATCTTCCTTAGTATAAGATTGAATAAGTAAGAAGAGTTTTAAATAGTCTTGGCACAAAAAGTGCTAGAAATAATTGTAGCTTTGTATCATCAAAGAAGAAAATTCAAAAAGAGTTTGAAAAATTCAAAATGTCCGAGAACTGAAAGTTAATAGTAACAAACACGGTCAAAAAACCTTATATACAGTTTAAAAACATTGATTCAACTTGATGATCGACAAAAACTATCAGGGGCAATCATCATTGACTCGTGAAGTCGTCTTGTTCTTAGAATTGAATACTGTAAATGTTAGTATTAAATCATAGTCAGGCTCAAAACTTTAGCTTGGCCTGGCCTGCAGGCCAGGTCAAAAATTTTCTAGTCTGATCAGGACAGGCGAAAATTTAAAAATGTAGCCTGGTCTGCTGCCTATTATGCTGGCAGCTCTGTGTTCTACCTCCACATGTCTCTCATACCATTGCTATCTACTGTGACAGTCGAATGACCTCTAATATGAGGTGCACTCGGATTTATAAGGAAGACGGTGTCTTAAAAAGAATCAAAAAATCTGATTTTAATCGGATTAATAATACTCAACGATCGATTTTTAATCCATGTTACTCCTATGTGTGTTGTGAGGCAAATGAACTCTAATGTGAAGTGCACACGTATTTATAGGGAGGACCGAGTCTTAAAAAGACTCAAAAAATCTGATTTTAATCGGATTAATAATACTCAACAATCGATTTTTAATCGATGTTGCTCCTACCTGTTTTGTACGTCGAATGAACTCTAACACGTGCTGCACTCATATATATAGGGTGGGTCGAGTCTCAAAATGACTGAAAAAAGATTTTTTTTAATCGGATTGTTAACATCCAAAAAAGGATTTTTAATACATGTTATTTCTACCTCATTTGTAACTCGAATGAACTCTAACAGGTGCTGCATCTCATATATATAGGATGAATCGAGAGTGTGGGTATGAGTGTAGATATATTCTTTATCCACACCCACACCCTCCGAGTCCTATCTTGTCGTGTCCTGTGATCGGATCCGAATTTCATAGTCGAATTTCAAACGGCCGGATCGCGGCTTCGGAACCAGACGGGAAACGACTGTATATGGTTTTTATCTTGTTGTCGTCATCAAGCGCCGAAACCGCATTCTGGTACCGTGCCGGAAACAGGCATCCGTATCCGAACACCGTGTCAGGACTCCGAAATTGATGGGAACTAAGCCGGAAACGGAGGCCGGAACCGATTTGAGAATCCTGCACCAGGAATTCGCTGGAAATCCACCGGATCCAGTGGTTTCCCGCCGTACGTCTTTGACCTGGGCTACTCAATTTAGTTTTCTTTTTATGTCAGAATAAATTCAGTAACTACCTTATTTCAGGTGTGATCAGTTCATAGCTGGAAAGGTAGAAGCATCTCCTTTTTTATCTTTTTTCATATTAGATTGTCTTAAACATCGATTCTAATCAATTAAGTTCTATTTTCATTTTGTTACAAATGTTTGTCTTCTTGTTTTTGTCATTAATCTCATCCGTTCGAGGTAGAGGAGTTAGTTGCTTTTTTAAAATCACAATAGAAAAACCAAAATGGAATGAGAGTAGTTATTTAATTAATTGAATAACAGAGTCATACCGAAAGACGATGAAATCAGCGTAGGGCTTCTTATTAGACCTGGGTTTGGATGAATTATTCCTATGCAGACTATTTGTATCACTTCCCATATTCTACAGGCCTTCCAAGTAGGTGCTAAAACCTTGCCAAGGACTCGTCTTGGTGACCGTAGCACAGAATTCGATATTTCTGAACTTATTTACATGGTACGTGTATTGGAGTTTATTTCGTATATACATAGCCATCGCGCCGCTGTAGCACCATTTGAATGGTTCCTAATTGTATGTGGGAATATAATAGGAATGAAACTCATTTTTTCTTGAAGATTCATTCCTTTTTATTCACCATTATTCAATATAATAGGAAGAACAGAAAAAGTTAGTCATGTTAATGGTCCTATGCGATAGAAAATCGTTGCTTTCGGTGACTGTTGAAGCTCGCAACATACAGATAAGTTGACGAACAGTTGTCCACGATATCATCATACGATAATTGTCATCAACCGCCACTTATCCATTCACATGGCCCACCTTCTGTTGAATGACAGGATAATTCCAGAATTCAATGATGGCCATTCTTTGATCGTCATCGACGTGAAGACCGTAAGAAGCCCAAAGTTGCTTGGTAGCACTGTTTTGTCCATAGCCTTCAGCAACAGTGAACCCTATTCGATTTCCATGTGGCATTAGCTGAAACATTTGAGTTAATCTACAATAAATGAAATATGGATAGAATTTGTCATGAATATCGATGAAGTACGAATAAAATATTCTTTCACCTCGGATAAATCTGGAAAAGCTTTCGCGAATGTGCTTAAGGGCATCCTTCCTTAATACACTCAAAACATAGGAAACGGTTCTACATGCAAATACAAACTGGAAAGGATTTTTTGTAGCTTTCTATGACAAAAAATAAAGGCGACTTTCATATGTATATATTTGATGCAAATTTCTATATTGATGCCGCCGAAATTCAAGTGTTAATGATGTTCATTTTTTGGTGAAGCATGAAAAGATCCGTCTGGATTCTAGACATCAAATTCTACTTAAATTTTATATTAGCATAGTTGTTGTCATAGTCTAATTGAATCTTTATTAGGAATTGCTCAACATCTCTGAGAGATATTATTCTGCAATTAAAAAATTCTAACATCAAACTTAGGATCCTAACTGAACAAACCGTATGTATTCAGTCAACGTTTTTAAAAGTTTGAAAACAAGATCTCTCCTAAATCCTGATATGAAGATCTAATAATAATTTGTAAATATGTCAAATGAGATTACTAACGACAAAAAGAAGTGAGCTACGTGGAAAAACTCTTAACTGAGAAATCCTGCGAGCATTCGATGATGGTCCTAAGTATACAGCTTG